GCAAATAAACATGCTGCCTCTAAAATATATATGGAAGCACACGACAAAGTTTCGATTTTTTAAACTCATTAATACAGAGTGAATATATGGGCTACAAGTCATGAAAGAGCATAAAACCCATAAATACGAAATTGTGTTTTGATTAGATTAATTCAAGATATGTGTTTATTTCAATTATTTCTATACATTTTTAATGACTTGTGTCTTGTAAATGATGTTGATGAAGAAATCAAGTAAGTATAAGTTTGAAATGAATATTTATCAAGGTTGATATGCAACACATTCTTTTTTTTAACAAAACACTCGCATCTAACAAAATACCCGCCCAAGTTTATGTATTTCTTGATATATATCATGCATTTTGTTGCCAACAATAATATATCAAAAACTGTACGTGTACGACATATTTTATGAGTGGCTTAATGAGAAGACGAATCTTTCAAATATTGCTTTTTTTCATTGTTCTCTCATGCAGTTGAACTTCTCTATTGCATTTCAGATAACCTTCTGAACTATGGGTAAAAATTCAAATATATATATTGATTTTAATTTTAAAGACAACAGCTATATTTTTCTTTGAAAAGTTTCAGTAATAACTGCAGAAAAGAATAAAGAGATAAACTTTTTTTTAAAAAATGTATCAACTCTTGGACCCTTCAATCGAAAAATTCACGTTAAATCATGTTTCCTGAAGAAATTGTAAAAAAAAAAAATGAGACATGGCTTTGAAAAACATTTATTTTGTGTTTAATACTTTACACATATTGACCAGACCATAAAACCAACTTGATCACAACAGCTGAAATTGCTGATCCATGCAAATTACCTCTTTTACTTTTCATCTTCAAGAGTTAATTCTAGATCTAATATGGTTGGCGAATTCTCATAAAGTCCATTCAGCGGGAAAATTAACTCAATTTATTGCCGACCATACAACTTGTATCAAGCAATATAAATGGGAACAACAGAATCGTATCGTTCGATCGTCGACCTTTTTTTTTTAAATAATCAATGTTTGTTTTTACTTTCAACTGACATCTGTATATTGAACGGTTTGAAAGTGCAGATATTGACAATTTGATGGAAATCGCTTGATTAATTTCTGGGAAGAAAGTACATATATGTAATATAAATTAGTCCAATAAAGATTCGTACAATGTTGTTCTTCATACTTTATTACCTCTAATTATGTCTTAAGAATAGATTTTGAAAAGTGCATCTTATTTGTTTATGCACATCCTGTTTCTCACACTACAAAGGTTTGAAATTCCTTTTTACCATTCTGCATGTACATTGAAGCTAAAATTTATTTAGTTAAATATTTTTTTTATTGAATTATGTGGGTATAATATCAATTTAAATTGCTGGGGGATTTATTTTTTAAGGACAGATGGTACAAACCAAAAAGCAAATAGATACCTGAATTGGTATATATATTTTGAGACTTATCTTGCTTGTAAATGATGTATATGTAGCCTTTTTCTAAAATATTAACACAATGTAAACATTTCGTGCTTTTCAAAATCCTACCTTTCCGCAATCATCCTCATGAATCTCTACATAACTTTTTACCATCTATATGACATAAATGTGAAGTTTTCAATGAAAAAATCTACGTGGTTAGACTTATTCCATTTATTTTACTATTTTCAAGGTTTGTTCGTATCATCCGTCCTTAATATATACAAAATTCATAGAGTATATACCTTGGAAGGATTTGATAATAGGAAAATAAAACCATTTACATAAAACAAGTAATTTAATCCTCTCTCTTGCTCCTCATAAATATTTTCACAGCTCGGTGTAGCTAATAAAAATGCCGGAAATAACCGTATTCAAATTAAATTTTAGGCTACCGGGTAACATGTCTTTTTGTGTGATTAGATAAAATTCTTGGTACACACTTTATACACTACGGTAATATAAATGTTCTAATTGTCAGACCAACTGCTGGGTTTGTGTGTCGTTAGTCTGTACCTTTATATGTGCAGGTGAGGACCCTTTGAACTATTTTGTTCAAGGGTCGTTTCATAATCGATTCAAATTGAAAAAAATTAAATCAAACCGTTGTGTATCTTCGTTCTGTCAATGACAAATCTAGCAATTTTATTGCTCAAATCTGGGGTTGTAATTATTGTTTTGTGGTCTGTGGCAGTCCATTGTGTGTCGATAAATTGCTCCCAAACATTACATGGGCTTTGTGTTAGGGCTGGGAAAATACGACATTCCCTCGATCCATTTCAAACATTGAATGATTTGGGGAACAATACACCCAGCCTGGTATTGTTGTTTTAGAATAAAAGATTGGGATGAGAAGAAAAAAGATATGTAATTTAATTAAAACAGCTCCTCTGTTCTTTAATCAGATTTCAAAAGATACAAAATTTGAAGTTTCAGTTGTACATCTAGACTGAATAAAATTCGCTAAAAATGCGTTTTAGATTATATTGACCATACACGCCCTATCTGAAGGTAAATGCACAAAATAAATTCAGATTTAAATTTTCTGTCACGCAACAAAGTAGACAAAAGAATCGTTTCCAACACGTATTTTGCATTGCTGTCCATAATAGATTTCAGTGGACGGAACTTACCCATTCATGGTCGATCTTTCGTGTCATAATTAGCCACGTATTTGTTAATGTTATTTAGAAATATCATGCAAAATCGCTGATTTGCAACACGATAGAAGATGATTAGGAACTGTTTAGCTGAATAGTTGAATAGCCTCAAGGATACTTTTTGGTGGCAAGTTAATTTTGATGATTTGGTTTTTCCATGTTCAGTACTAGTGTTTTATAAATTCAAGTAATTACGTGTGAAAACTAGAGCAAGAATTAGTGCATTTTCTATACTTAAAATGGTCAATTAATATGAAATATTGATAAATATCTTTTACACTTAAAACGTTTCTCTAAATTCCTATAATTCGATACAGTAAATAACAAAACCTGAAGGGTTTTATATTATACCTATTAGTATTTTAAAAATAAATACTACAATTATCTGGTAAAAAAAAATGCGGACTCATCATCAAAATAAAGGCTAGTTGTAGGATAATTACATGGTATGTGCATTATTTACGTAATGTTGTACCATTCGCTTCCATCTCCAGAGACAACATCGAACTATGAGCACAACACCACCCCAAAAAGTGTCACCAGGCTTAGAATAAAATCTTTTTGATGCCACCTTTGAATATCACTGTCATATTTTATCAGATGCACTATTAATTATATTACACTTTCAACTGTCAAAAAGGTCGACTACGAATAATAGGGTGCAATGGATGATTACATCAAAAACTCGAACAAATAGGTCGAAGTTCTTTTTTACCGAAATGTCCGTATTCGATCGCATACCTTTGTTGAAAAACATAGGGTGAAAATCAAAAGATTTAATTTAAGAATTACAAAGGCAAGTTATGTCACAAACAAGTCTTAGAGTTGATTAAAAGTTATTTAAACAATCCCGAGATCATAAAAGCCACCCAAAGTCATGGACACCATTTTCTTTTTATTGACTTACAAGTGTTCTCTTGGGGTAAACTGAAAGGAAAACCGTGTTTTCCATACATTATAAAAATCGCTAGAAAATATATTAAGTGGCCATAAATTTTGGGTGCATATATATTCTTTCATCGTAACGTAAATCTACTTATCTGGCTAACATGACAAATACGGCAAAATTTCTCCCTTGGTTCGACATTTTTTAAGTAAAGAATTCGAAAATCAGATAACCAGTCGTATATATTAAACCATTAGTATGAAACACTTTAACGAAGAATTCTGAACCTCATATTTAATGAACTCATTAAATATGTGAAATATGATGCTTTTTTGAATATTTCATTAAAGAGACACGAGTCCGATTTCCATATTCATTTTTCACATACAAAATTTATGGGCCTTCTACCGTTTTATGATGTTATGTGTATCAGCGAGAAACTAAAAATCAATCTAAACATCAAAGAATTTACTTTTTTTCACAAAAAAAGCCGTGTTTTACGCCAAACCATTATTTATTGCTCTTTCATATTAACACTTCCTACCGTTATTGGGAGAAAATAGTTTGATTGCAAGTTAATATGATATTCATCAAGCATTGGATTTCTGAATTATACGGATTATAATCTAAATCAACACATCATAGGACTCGTAGTGATAATAACACGTTGTGAATTACAAGCTTGCGGAAATACGTTTATACGAGATTTCCATAAATCAAATTAAGAAATCATCTACATTTTGCAATAAGTATAAAATGATCAAAGAAACATGCTAGATTCATCCAGGTATTGATAAATCTCTTCCAAGGAGAGCATTCCTGATACATTTTACAGAAAAGTTTTAAAGATTATTGCATTAATATATATGTAGAGATTTTTTTTATCATTGATTGTGGCTAAAACGTCAATATCATGTCTTGGAATGAAAATCAATTTCTTTTAGTGAAAAATGTCAGGATAAATGGGATTTTTAAATTGAAATTTTCATTGATACAAGAAATACATCTACAAAAGTCTGAGACAGCGTATGAAGAATTAATAAAATTTAGATTGTAAAGTACAGAATAGTTGTTCAATTTCAACTAGTACGTAAATGTATATGACGAAACCAAGTAACTATTCAAAAGACCTCATGTAATTAAATGTGTAATGATGTTAAAGCTTATGTAACGGTCTGCTAATTTATCAGTCCATTCAATTTTAAATTGAAATATCTTACGGCAAAAAGAAAGGTATGTTTAACTGTGTCCCGCTTGTATTTAGTGTAAGACGGTTGAAATGATTCACCTAGATGTTTATTTACTTTTCGATTAAAACCGCAGATAGCTATTTCTTGTACAAATTGCATTGCGTAAGGGTTACACAAACTTATTTACTTTTCGACACGACCTGCAAATTACCTCTCGAATTTACCTTTAAAGATTTCGCAGCCTTTTAAGGATACTTGTGCAAAACTTTTTTTATGTTTGTTGAAAAATTCCAAATCAGCAAAACTTTTCAAAATATATTTATTGCACAAAAACCGTTAATATTAAACACAATATAGTTATATGTTTGCACACAGATTAATTTAAATTCCTATCATAAATATACTGCCTTAGTTTTGCATTTAGCCACCGGGTTTGATGAATGTTTTGATGGCATAATAGAAGTACAACTAGTAGAATGAGGTACACATTTTCTTTGGCTGTGAGTTGCAAAAGAGTCACTTTTATTAGGTTCGGGCTCGCTATTCCAAATTTCGCTATCAGAGCATCGCCCCGAGTCATGACTATCAGAACTTCGACAACTTTTAATGTCTTCCTGTAATTTGTTATTATTAATAACACTAGATTTTCTTGCCTGTGAAACCTCTTGATTTTGAACTTGGTGCAAATGAACCGCATTTCCATCGGGATCAGTAGCTATGAATGAACTGTCACTTATTTTAACCATTGTGCATCCAGTAAACGTTTTAATAGAATCCACATTTGTCACTTTGAAAGCTAAGAATGTTGTTGATATCGGATAGGGCTGGATGAATTTAGAGTATTTTAACGCTATTTGAATGTCTACCCCTGGATTGGAATAAGTTTGAAAAATACAGAAACCAGGTTTGTTACTTTCCATCTCGCAGTCCGTTATCACTCTGTAAAATTCCACCATCTTCTCAAAATTCTTCACGTAAATAAGGACCCTGAGATGCTCGTTTCCATAGTGAACAGGACAGACAGACCATAGAGGCATATCATCTGCTATTCCATAGAATTCTTGGCAAGCTGCGGTCCGTTCTGGAGAACGCACATTAAAAAGTTCAACTTTATGGTGGTACTCCCAGGGTGGCACGAGAAAACTTTTCTGGACATCTTTTGAAGACATTGTGCCATTTTCAGCTAGAAATAATATGACACTAATAGCAGGTGCTCTTATATATTCCACCTCACACTGCTGTGGATGTTCCTGAAGATTTATGCTATTTCGTGTTTGATTTCCATTTTCTTGAATGTTTAAGAATTCGAAGGATGGATCAATCCACTTTATAAATGGATGAAGAATTTTCTTCAACACCTTTCGTTTACCTCTCGGCACTGAAATGCACAATTTGCATCGAAACGGATCGAATATACTACTCATATCCGAGTTCTTGTGTTGGTCTACTTTATCAAAAGTCATTTATAAACTCAAAAATTTTGCACGGGGACGGTGAAACATCACTATGATAATAATAAATAGGACAATAAATCTTTTATTGAGGTAAACTTGCTGCAGCATCCATCAAGCTTAGTGTGCTTTTAAGACTTTTCTCCAAAGCATTACATATCGATCAGGTAAATCCATCGGAATTACAACACAAATCTTATTTCCATAAGCTGCACAGTCTTCACAAAAAGCTTATCTTGTACCACTCCAACTTCAAAAAATAAATTGCATGTAAATGTATCCCTCTGTTCAGGTCTGGAGATTACGGATTGAAGTGATGACTTTTGTCGGGCACATTCATCACTTGTCCTGTCAGTTTTGAAGCCAGCTCCACAGTAAACCTGTCCCTTAAAGTTCAGAAGAGTTTACGACGGAAATAAGACAACACGTGGTTTGCTGTTGTGTATTTCATTTCCTCTCTCACCTTTCAAGTAAACGAGAATACAACTGTGATTTGATTGGACAATTGGAATTTTATTTTTCAAAATATAATCTTCTCATCGGCATTTTACATTTACAAGTACAGAATCAGAGAACGTTATGCTCCTCCTGCGAGTAGTCTTTTAAATCGATCAAAAAAATAACTCCCACAGCTTGTCCTGAAGGATTTAAATGACTGCTCCCTCTGATACCCGACATGAAACCTGGAGGTCAATATAGGAAGAAGCATTTATATATTAACAACATGTGTCGTAGTAAAAACGGACCCCATGGCTTTTATTGCGTCATTATAGAACAATAATTAAGGGTCGATACTTGCTCTCTCTTTTTTTACAACAATATCCATTTTCTCATTGAATAACAAAGGTACTTTTCACACAATTAAAATGAACTTATCAAGTACTTTTGCCTATTTCATATAAATTGAATCTTTTTTTTCAAAATTCACAAACAATCTCATTCGTCTAAGTTGAAAGTGCTCAGTTTCATGTAAACACACTCGTTCCCTCTCAGGTCACGGCGAAGTTATTTTCCAGTTAACTCCAAGTATGCAGAGCAATAATGTGCAATGACAACGAATAAAATACATAAGAGTAGCACTCCTAGAAAAAGCCCAACATGACATAGCGATATCCCCTGAAGAATAATCTGCACTTAATAGCCTAACTAGGTACAAATTGCGGACTTCATCCTTCAGAAGCTTGACAAATTACTGTCCATCATCATCTGTCCCTGGCAGCTACTGGTTGTCATGGCGACTCAATTCACAATATAAAAGATTAGTCTTTTACAACCCTTTGTCATATGTGAACCATTCAAGTCACAGAGGAAAGAATTTGACACCGGGTATGAGATACCACGATCACTCGACACTTGTCGGTTATGTGAGATGGATAACACGTCTAAAGAACTCAGTTTAGAAATTATTTTGAATGAAGGGTTTTGACTTTTGATGTTCATTTCCATATTTAATAGTTATATGCTTATATTACGTTATAGAATTTCATAGTTGCTTACATTATGTAGATATAGTCAGATGGAGATCTGAAAAGAAATTGTTGCAGAATATAAGAACACAATAGGCATACAATGTATCATTAAATTATTGGAACCAATTATAAATTATATACAACAAAGTATTATATTAACGCCTTAGCACCAATGTTCAAAATTATGGCGAAAGTTACTGTTTTTCAAAAGAAGGTGTAAGTCAAAGCCAAGAGGTAAAGAAAAATATTTGTACATGCTGAAAATCAAAACCAACCGTTCAAAAAATATAGCCAAAGTTAAAGTTTAGTAAAAGTTTGCAAAAGAGGGTCAAACTCCAAGGAAAAGAGATGAGATACGTCGGTGCTCCAAAAAAGATCTTGTCTCGAGGAATAAATAAATGCATATGAAATATGTGCAATATCCAACAAGTATAACATTATGGACAAAGCTTAATTTTTTTAGACAAACAGACAGATTGACAGAGCAAAAAATTGTATGCCCCCTAAATTTTCGATTACTTAGGCATACAAAATTATATGCTGGAAAGTTTAGCTCTATTTCAATCATCTTTATCAAAACTTATTAATGTACAGTTACATATGTAATTGTAGCCATACAGAAAACTAACCACTTTGCTCTTATTAAACAAATATTTGATGGTTCATGTATCACTCTCAGTAACTGGGGTACCTCTTTTCCAGTACATATAACGTCCCATTACATTCATATAACATTACTGTACGTAAATCTTATCTTTATTTCTTTTTGGTGTTGTGCAAATTAAAGTAAGTTATTGTGATGGAATTGATATTCATGTCAGTAATAAAAGATCCCTTTTAGTATAATAAGTTTATGCTTTATATCCTATGAAATGATAGGATAAATTCTGCGTGTATGCAGTTCATTACAATAACTAGTAAATGTGTTAATATATTCTCTCATTAACATATTTTTTATGAAATATGAACTTCCTAAGGAACTCAGTACTAAATTTTCCAATAGAAAATGTGTCAGGGGTTTAAATAACAACAATATTTTCACTTCGTAATTATTATTTGACAGCAGCTTAGACATGATTTACTAAATGGAACATAATGATCAATGCTAATTTCTCTCCTTTTATTAGCATACACTTGTATGATTTAGTATGCAAGAGGAACCGGTATCCCTACAGAACAAAATAAATTCGTTTTAATAAATTCGTGTCCAATAGATGTCAAACTATATGTTAAAATCTTATGACCTGTTGAAAATACTTAGATAATTTTACAGAACTGTTGATATCTGCGCGGTATTTTATTCTTCAATATATATAAAAAAATAAATATATTTGAGACATGTACATAACACAATTTCTCCAACACATGGCTTAATCAACTTTAACAATAAATACTGCATAAACTTAGGGGGTTGTTTAGGGAGAAGAGAAATGATTTTGAACTACATGCATTTGATCATCTTATTAAATATAACAAAAGCTATAGCTGAAAGCGTAGTTTTTGAGAAAAGAAGCTTTAGGACCATGATGGTCAAGTTTATTTTCCACACAGCTTTTAAATGATCAAGTTTCAGCAATTAATATTTATGGCTCTATTGACTAACGTAAACAAGCGGGAATCTGATCAATACATAAGGCTCACAGCATATGTGACCGGTCAACAGCGGATGCTTACTCCTTCAAGGCACCTGATCCAACTTCTGGAATATACGGTGATACATGTATGTGTTTATACCCTGTTTACAGCTTTGTATATTTTATAAATTTTTAGAGACAGATGACTGTTTTATCTTTACCCGTTATACTGGAAATCTTCACAGTCTTCAAAGAAAGCTTGAAACAATTCAAACTTTGAGTTGAGCAAAAACAAATCTAGACCTTTTAAAACATGAAAGATAGGATCATGTAACATGGAGAAAAAGGTTTCTTCTTTTGAACCTATCCCATTCACCGTTTGCTTTTTTTTTTCATGATTGGGTAACCGAAAAAGCCGTAGTCAATTCAGTATGTAAATACATTATGTATTGGCTTAAAATATCTGAGAGACGGAAGTAAGCATTTGACTTAACAACAATCTCTATATGCAAATAGAATTTTAGCTTTAACCAAAGACTTTGTGAAATGCATACCACAAACGAAATTATAAGTATGTTTGTATCATCAAATGTTTTCATAAGCCTGCTACGTTTTAAAATTTGAAAAACTTGTGTGTCGAATCAATTGTGAGATATATACCCTATACGTATGTGACAATTGTTTGTTAATTGACAATACGTCGTTGACTTATCTCACCGAAAAATTAAAATTTTCAACATTTTTTAAGTTTGGATTTGAACATTAGAATAATTACATCAGTCTTCCATAGTTGCCACAGTGACCTTTGTTACCAAAAGCAATTTATCATTAATCGTATTTTGACTGACTTTCTCAAACAAATTTGTTACATATGCCTATATTTTTACACTAAATTGTCCAAAGATTTTTTTCTCAAACCCAATCATGACCAGAATCCAATGATAGGTAAAACCGTTGACAGGGAATGTTTACTCCTTCATGGCATCTGATCTGATTCTTCGTGTCAATTTTTTATGTCCCCGTTTGCTCTTTCCACATTTTGTAGTGTTTCAGTCATCTTGTCATCATTTTATCGTTCGTTAACTTCTAAATAACATCACTTCTTTGCAGATCCTGTATGTCATGTGCACTGTATATACATCTGCCGAAGGTAATAAAAAACGTCATTCCATTTTTCTATTTTATTTTTTAGCATTTTCAACAAGTTAAGTTATAGCAAAATAACTCAGATAAACATGAAACATGAGAATTATTGGTGTTTAATATGCTTGAGCTTTTTGAAACAGTTACATAAATGATTAATCATTGTTAAGTCGTAATTGTGTGATCATTGGAGGGTAACTCATCAATAAGTGTTTTCCCCAATTTTTTCCAGGTATGAGGTAAATGACTTTCCTCTGAAAGGCACATGTAATTGGTTCTCCATTGAAACTTCGGAAACCGCTCTAAATACGCTGTATGTCAATAATCGAACCACATTTTTTACGCTAATTTGTTAGTTCAGTTTTTAGGTCTGTAAATTGGTCTATCTAATGCCTATTTTCACTCAACTAAAACGGGTTAACATAACGATTAGGATACATTTGTGATATATCAGTGATAAATCATCAGAAATTTAGAATCGACAATGTCATTATGTATTATCAAGTATTTTTTTAAAAGTTGAATCTTGATCTGTTTTTATGCAGTACATAACTATTTTCAAGTTCAGTAGAAATCAAAATTCCGATATTATTAATTAATTTTTATTCGTCTGTCTTGGGTAAACTTACTAAAGTTTAGTTGCTGACAATGAAATATTGATGATGGTTGATTTAGCATCGCCTTTTATCCTTTGATTCTTGAGCGCCACCTGCACATGTTACCAGGTGATAATAATTATAATTTTTGTTAAAATTTTCAATTTTTGATTTAGATTTAGTTTCATAACTAAATTAATGCCATCAACAATGATTTATTATTGTAAAAGTTTAATTTTAGAAACATAAAAAGGCCAAAGGCACACTCTTTAAAACTAATTTACACATTTGTTTTATTAAGTATACATTTAACAGAGCCAAGGCAATTTATAAATTTCCGACAAAATTCAAGCATTCAATTTTTTTAAGTCTCTATAAATCCTGAAATCAAACATTTCTGAAACATTTATCTAATGAATACCCAAAAGGTCGAGAAAAACATTACACCACGTGCTACATTAAAAAAGCCATTTAAGTCGGTTTGATGATAGATATTTAATTCTAAATTTCATAGAAATAATTTAATTGTTATTAAAGGATTATAGATATGTCTAAACATCAATGACACTTTTCACCATAAACAATTTTATCAGCCATTTATTTAATCGGTATGGATAATGGAGATTATAATGTGTATAATGTGACACAGTTTTTGGATTTATACCCTTGAGAATGAATATAGAGTCAATGCTACGTACCTGTCTCAATAAAAAAGGGTCTCGGTGAAAGTTGTTATTGTAAAAGAAGACATCAAAGTTTGTGGAGAACAGTTATTCTGTAATTAAGAACTTTGTTTTCCTTATATTAATTTCATTCGAAAATACACTTGTAACTCATAATTTCCACATGAAATACTCTTATGCATAGGATTGGGGTGGCATGAAAGGTACCAGGGGTCCCTTTTATTGCCAAAAATATGAATATCGAGTTTAAAACATTTTTGTTGTTAAATATTATGTGTATTATGTAACGTAGACATGAACTTGTTACGCACACCTTATAATTCAATAATTCTGTATCTGTCAACGATGTGTGTGAAAGAAAATTATTTATAAAAAATATGATTTGCAGTTTTGTAAATTCAAAAAAAAAATTATTGAACAAAAACGTCATTATCTGGCAATTGTCTTGGTTTCTACAATGAGACATGGTAATGGAAATTGTAGATTTCTAGCAATGCTCTTTCATCTACCAGATGTGGCAGTATACCCGCATCATTAATTACTTATTTGAAATTGAGCCAATTCAGTACAACTGACGAATCGAAAATATTGTTTGTCAATTATTCATTATGACTTGAGAGCATTTATTGTACGTAAAGCATGTATGTCTAATTTGTTCAAAGATCTG